CCGGGACACCCCCCGGCCCGGGCCCTTCCCTGCCCCTTGCACCGGGAGGCGGAGAGGAGTCGCCCGCCTCCCGCGTCCCTGCCCCCGCAAGGCTCCGCTCGGCCGCCTCGGCGCCTTCTCAAGCGGCCGCCTTACGCTCATGTTTTTGGGGTGGTTTCCTGCATAATTCCCGATAGGAGCTGTGAAACTGAGGGTTTCTAATCTTGCGCCCTTTTTCTGAAGGCTTGGGAGCAACGGCAGGGATATAAATGTTGTCTAGTAGTGACTCAGGAAGAAAAATGCTACAATGGCTTTTGCTTGTATCTGTTTCAGGTGTTATTTTGTAGTTGTAGCTATTAAAGATGTTTACAACTGCGGCATTTCTATGATTCTATGATTTCCCTTAGCAGAAGTGAGCTTTGTTTTTTTTTTTTTTTTTTCATCTTGGAAAATATTGCAATATGCATGAAATGTAGCCATTACAACTTTCAGGTGGAGTGCATCTATCACAATAATAAACACCATGTAAAATAAAAGTGGTCGTTAATCCCTGCAATGCCAAGTAGTCTGGTTGCTGGCCACTAATTAGGCAGATTTCAGTGGTAGAGCTAGTTGAGTCCAGAAAGCTGATTTTTTTTGTTTTGTTTTTTGTTAAAAACAGCTTCCCCCAGGCTTTAAATTTAGGGCTGCTGAAGCGCTTCATTTAATCTCACCATTCTAGCTCCCTAGTCCACCTAAGAGCACTTTTCAAAGGTCTTAGAGGTCTTGTCAGTTTTTATCAGTAGTTTATGGGAGCAGGGGAACACTTTGGCTTTTATAAAAGAGGAGCTTCGTAACAGACTCCTTTAAAAATTGCTATTAGGCTGAAGGAATGCTTATGTGTAGATGTAGTTAGGGTAGCCTTTTAGAAGAGGAAAATATCTCAATTCACATAGTTCTTATTTAACTTGTATTCCACCTGTATAAGTTCAGTTTCTGCATAAAAAGCACTTCTATAACAAAGAGTCTTCCAGTAAGCGTTAATTTTAAGAACTGTAACTTCATTCATATTTTGTGTTCTCTGAATGATTTAGAATTAGCCACTCTGATATGGTGAGAAAGGACTAGCACAGAAGAAATTATTTTGCCATATCTCTTGACTTTTCTCTAAACTAGAGTTACCACAAAATATGGAGACATGCATAAAGCAGGAACTGAAGGAGACAGGGAGCTTTATTCCAGTTTTTAGGTGTGTTTTAGTATGGGCAGCATTGGCAAAATTTCTGTGTTTGACACATGGTTGAACCTTGCTTTTATTTTGCCAAACACAGATTGTTCTGAACTACTTTTTGAAC